TGAATCAATCTAAGGGATGCCAGAGATGTGGACATGAAGCCCACCGCGGACTTGACGACCGTCTGTGCCGGGTTCTTGAAAAGCCACACGTAGGTCAGTTGCGATGAGACATTCCCTTGAGTAGTAGAGGAAGAGCAACCTACGCTGTTTGCTGTGTCCTTGTAGGGGAAACGGGCAAAGGATGGCTTGATAGCATATACACCACAAAACGCGGCGGGGATCCGCACGGAACCGCCTTGCTCAGTGCATCAGTAAACCGAGACAGATCTGTCGAGTAGGAGACAGTACCGATATCCGTGCCGATACCAAGACAGCTTCCTCCGAGAGCAAGAAGAGAGGCTTCTCCTGGAGGTGAGCACTTGTTAGCATATTTTCAGCAAGGGAGCGCTAGTAGTCATACCACCAGAGGAGCCACCACAAGAGAGCGCTTGGTGGACGGGGTTCATTGTGTATCCGTTAATGTTGTTGTGAGTTTCACCGAGCTAAGATGTCAGAATGTGCCTACTGCACGGTATTGGAGGCTTCAGAATAGACATGGTTCGCGGACCAGTGTGATATTTGGCATACATACCAGAAGAGTCTGTGGAAGACTTGTCTAGACCAACCCCAATTAGCCATAGATAGGGCGCATGTCGAAGGATAGATTACCTTGCAGTATAGTACCGCTCCGAGCTTCAACAAATCCTGGACGACAACGCTTTCCCTCTTTTTATACTCAGGGCTCCCCGCGTCGCCTTCAACTGTATTTATCCAACCGACGTATCCCATGGTCGTTTCGACACCTCTGACATAGAATTGGTCCTTGAGACTGATTGGGACCCCATGAAGAGGCCCAAGGACGGTTCCAGTGCACTCTTGATGGCGATCAAGCTCCTGGGCCCTCCGAATTGCTTGGTCAAAGAAAATTTCGTGGAGACATTTATTCTAGTCCATTAATGAGTCTCAAGACCGATGACATTGAGACTGCTCGTGGCCCTTAGTACTCACAATCTGATGTGCCACTGCTGCTCGGTGGCAGAATGCAAGGGTTATCTCCATCACTGTCAGGGCGCGCTGTTTTATTCTTTCTGCCAGCTCCAGAGCAGAAAGTGCTGTGATCGCTGCAGCTGCCTCATCGAGGAAGCTCATAATGAAATCTCCAGTAATATCACGTCTGCTGCGTGCCTGTTCTAGCTCCGAATCCGACAGGAGCCATTCAGGACGAATTTGGTCTGATGTCTCTGCAATCTTCTGAGCGGCCAGCGTCTTCCAGTCCGTGTCACGTTGGTGGGTTGGCATTGTTTCCTATCCAACAAGCAAGATCCCAATGAGTGAGCATGGGAAGCTCTGTCCAGAGCAGCTGTCTATCCCCTTTGAAAGCAAAAACGATGCTTCGCATCCACTGAGAGCATAAGATTGTACGCGGTGATCGAGGCGGTGCCATATTAAGGGGGGTTAATGTCTTCGCTAGTCCAAGACTAGAACAGTAGAGGTTGCCTGGTAGTGAATCGTGATAGATCCAGTGGCGCAGGGTGTACCTTGGTTCGCAAGACGGCGCGGCCTGGGGGGTGTGAAGCGTGCGCTCCGACTGGTCACAAAAGTTCGAAGACACCGCTAGATCGGGCAACCTGCATTGCCCGACTTCCTCCTTGGCGTCTGGCTCGCACACCGCATTCATAGGCGACAACCAATCCTCCGAGCCTGCTCTTGGTCGGCGCCGGGAGGTCAATGGGGACATTCCTTCATACATTGGGCATCAACGGCCCCTGCGCTCTCACCACGACCCTTTGCCCGACCTAAGTTCATCCTCCGCATCCTAAGCGGCCAACCGTCCTCTGTTCGGTGCTGTGCGTGGGGACTGTTTCAGAGGTTGCCTCGTCCAATTCTGGTCGATGATCTCGCCTCGGCGACAAGGTTCGAACTGAGAAGGCGGCTGACCAGCCCCGGCCAAGGATGCCCTCCGGGGTTTGATGTCCGCCAGTCGGCGTGCATCATCCCTGCCTGTACACACGAGAGTTGGACGTGATTCACCTAGACCTCCAGGCAGACCATCACCCCGCGAGTTTTGAACTCACCGGCCGGTGATGTCGAAATGTGACCCGAGTCGAGAGGACCAACCAAGAGGACGCAGTGGTGTGCTGCACTCGTCCCTGAGCGGCGATTGGTGGAGGGCGCGGGCGCTTGGGCCGGCCTCACCCGTTGCTGGAGAAGGAATTTCGCTCTCAATCCCTCTCCGGGCAATGTCGACTTCCTATCCAGGTGAAAACCCACTCGACCCTTAGACCACGATAAAGGTACAGGTTGCAACCATCGCCCGACCCAGGGGAGGTCAGACATGATTATACTTGGGGAAAGGCGGGGTCTAGCTGGGAGAGGAGGGAAGTGATACGGTCAGATTCAGCCATCGCCCGCGGTTGCCAACTGGCGCGCGAGTTTAATTTTGAGTCAGTGTGGAGGCGGTTCCGAGGGTAGATTCCGCCGGGGAGGCTGTCAAAAGCCGGTATCTCGAAGGGTGATAGGCCGGCTGACTATTACATCAAGAGCAGCAGAAAATAAGAGTACCAGTTATGCTCTATGGACCTGGGAGATGAAGGAAACCTAAAGGTAGGGGTTATCATCACCAAAAATCCATATCGATAATGTCCTTTTCCGGACCTTCCGAACGCCTCCATCGCTTGCGTGATACAACCACCAAAGTTTCAAGATCAACTGACTGCGCGCTGAAGTTACTGGTGGGCTGTAGATAGGTCGTCAGAACAAGTCGGCCAGGCATAGCCCCTGGCGTTCTGTTGCAGACAATATCTATCAGACGGACGAAGACATTTTTGACAACCTGCCCGCTTGACCTAGTCAATACCGAGGCACTCATGATACTTGCTCGTTTTGATAGGCTCCGGCGAGCTGTATCGCTAGACTCGTAAATAAAATTACTTCTCCCTCCCTTCAAGAGTCCTTGATGCCAACACCTTCGTAGCATCTCGCCCTCTCGGCTTACGTTACATTCTCGGCTGAGCGCTGGTTACCACTCTCGGCTTGTTCTTCATCTCTGTAGGATTGCGACAACTCTCCCCGCAAACCCTGGTCGTCACTCCCCGCATGTTCTCGGCTTGCCATCAACTTTCCAGCTAGACTCCGATTGACTCTCTGCGCCGTCTCTCTATCTTGCTCAGCTCGCACAACCCGTTTGTCAGAGCGCGCCAAGGGAGAACATGGTTTGGTGGAATAGGCCCTCGGGTTGCAAGTTAATGACCTACCCTCCATCGGCCATGCTGAGAACCCCCTCCCCCCCGGCCCCAAAACCAACCCCGGGGAGCAAAATTCCAAGAAAAGGCTTCGAGGGACGCCACGCACACTTTCTGTCCCTCCCCTCCTCAAATGTTGTGAGAGGACCATCGAGGCGAGCACGGGCCTGCCGGGGCGTCGCGATAGATGAAGAGAGATCCGTTCGATCCCCTCTGGAGTAGCGTAGAAGGGCACCAACATTCCACCGTTGCCATCATTACCAGCTTCCCACCCTTGGCCTTCAGAACAGCATGCCACACGTCGGGGTGCCCTCGTCGTCCGGGAACAGGCAGGTCATCGTAGGGGGTCCATCCTCCACCGGGCGAACTTTCACCGCATCGTCGACTGAGATCGCTGTGGGGAGTTTTAACGGCGACGCGGATTCTCATCCCCTTCAGGTCATGGCACTTGTGCAGGTGAGGTCCAGCGTGACTGTGATGGCGTCGTTCGCCAATTCGTGGCGGTGGCGCATTCCTGATCCACACATTCGTCAATGAGAAAAACGGCGTGCCCGTATGCCTCTCTGACCCGGACAGAGGACGAGATCGTGCTCCACTCGGGACACGGGATGGCTCACCCTCCCGCCTGAACCAACTGCGGTTGCGGGCCGTCGTCCATGGGTCGACAGGTGTGCCCTTCCTTGTTGATAATGTCGTGAATTGTGCCTATTATCTCGTTCATGCGGTTCAGACGTGCGACCTCTGTCTGTGCAGCTTGCAGTTGGGACTGTTGGTCTGCACGCTCATGCTCCATCTCTTGCTGTCGTTGTGTAAGCTCGTCGCTCAGACGCGTGATCTCTGTCTGTGCAGCGTGCAGTTCGGTCTGTTGACGTGCGTGCACGTTCTCCATCTCTGCCTTGCTCTGTCTTTCTTCCGCCAGTTGTTGTTCCAGGCGTTTCACTTTTGCCTCCACACTCTCGAAGGCCACGGTCGCATCCCTCAGGCTAGTTTTGAGCACCTCGATCTCCGGACTATTGATCTGCGGCCTCGCCTCGGCGTTCACGCTGCTGGAATTTCCCTCGGGGACAAGCACGCTATCCCCGCTCCTTCCGCCACACGGTCCTTTGTTCGACGGTCCGGGCTCGGGATCTTGGGAGGTTCGCTGTCGCTTTCGCCCCTTTGGCGGGATTGCTAGGCGCGGCACGATCAGAGGTTCACTTGTCGCAGAAGAGGTACCGTTGTCTTCCGCCGTGCCATCCTGGCCCATATCGAGGGCCTGACGACGGCACAGGCACGCCTTCTTAGATTTAGATCGACGACAACACTCACATACTGGTGGAGCCCGCGATGCTGCCATTGTGCTCGATATCCATCCAACCTGGTGCGTGTTGCTCAGAATTATGATGGTTGGCGAGACAACAACCGGGTGCATCCGTGAACGACGCGACTGCGGCCCGCCAAGAGCAACCAACCGTGGGGCACGCGTCGACGCGTCAAGAGTCACATGACCTCATCACGAGAGGCTCAATCCTAAATCGGTCTAGATCGTGACGCAGGGGCCGGAACACGAGGGGACTGGCCAGATCAGTTGCCCCGTGGTTTGGAACGTCAAACACTCACCTGAGAGCCTCGTACAGTAGGCTCCCTAGGGTTCGTCATCATCACCGGTGTTGGGTCCATACTGGCGCGGTCCAAGCCCGAGCCTAGACCAGTCAGCATTTGAAGGGGAAGAACATGGCCTCGTGGTGAAGATGTTAATCGCGGTTATCCACGATAAGTGTCGCAGGATAGGCATGATCTTGGCAAGCCATGGGGAACAAACTGTATTAGTAATCCAGCTATGGACTTCATATATATATGCGGGAGGGTGTACCCACACCTCAGACAAAAAAATAAATGAGAAAAATAACACTGCTGCTTACATCCAAGATCACCTGACCTTTCATCGCTTTAGCACGAACAGTGCGACAAATAAGATATCACGAATATTGTGCAGTGCACCGATCTTCGACGCGGATTGAACTGGTAAAGGAGATATATGGCTACTTTGTAAGCCTCTATGCCGGCAAGAGAAGAGTTAGGATGGCCTTTGGGGTCTATGAGGCATGGCTTCGCAGGAGTGTGTTTTCGGCCTTCACAAAAGCCGTAACCCCATTGATCATTATGCTAGCTCGTTTGGGGCACGGTGACAACTTTGCAGAGCCCATCGATTTTTCTCCAGTCAATTCACGAATGGAATCGAAACCATATCGAATTTCTACTTGAGTACAGAGGCCAACCTCTCGCATCCCTGGGAGGTGTTACACTGGAGATCGACCAAGGTACGGGGGAATAAGTAGTATATTAACCATCTTATCCCATTGTGACGAGGCAGCAGCACTTTCCTTGGCTGCTGCTATTCAAATGAGCTGCCCGCTCGAAAAAAGTGTCGGTGAGGAATCGCACCTTAAACTAACGTTGAGGAGGGAAGATATTCGGAGTCAAGGTCGAGCGGACATACCGGTCAATGAATGATGGATATTGTAATATGTGCCACCTCTAATGTGGAAAAATGTCGTCATCCTGGGGTCCATCCTAGGCCATGCGCCTCAATGCCTCGTCACGATCAAATGAACTGGATATGACGTAGCGGCGACGGTCACGTTATAAGGCGACCTCTCATCAAACTAGCCGGCCGGTCGTTGAGTAATTCCAGGGAGGGCTTGTGCACTTTGCAGTTCGGAAACGGCGCCAGGTGAAGGTTGAGGAGTTCTTCTCGTCGAGGATTTCACTGAATAGCATGTCGATAGATGTCCACTCAAAATAGCCGTCTCTGGAAACGCAATCAATCGTGGTCCATAGTCGAGAGCGCGGATCGAAGCCTGTTCCGGGGCCTCGGACGGAATCCGTGTGTGCTGGAAGAAAAAGCTCGAGGAAATCGCACGCTTCGACGAGTGGCCTGCTGTCTTGCTCAGGACTCAATATCCAACCAATAACTAGATGGCGTGGCGTGTCGAGAGATTGCCTAACATCTTGAGCAGCTTCGCTCGGCTGAACTTATCGAGACTTTCCTGTATTCGGCAAATTTCCCGGGTCCGTGTGTTCTAGCGTTGGAGATCTGCCTAACTTCGTTGGGAAAGCTGCCTTGCCGACGAAAGTCCGCACACTCCTATTTCAACGTGCCGATCGCCCACCTCAGCCATCGCTCACATAACGGTAGACCGTCAATGATCCCTCTATCAAAACTGGTGGGAATTCTTTTCCTGGGTATTTTTGGCGTTCGCCGAGCCTGGAGAGGTTGCATCCCCTAGCATTCCCGCCGAGGATAGAATTGCACGCCTGCGGTTGGGGTGCCTCCTAAAGTCGGACGGGTCTGGCTGGCCCTCTTTCCACCCCTCCCTCCTGCGATCTTCACCGTCCAGATCACCCGCCCCGGGACGCGCCTTGCGCCGTTGGCGGCTCGAGGATGACTAGCTACAACACCCTTCCTGCCCAGGACCCTGGCACCTTCCCAAGACCCTCCCCCGGCGTAGCCACCGAGACTACTCGCCCCCCCACGCCCGACGAACACCTCAACATCAAGGTCACGGACGGAAATAACGAAGTGTGTTTTAAGATCAAGAGAAGTACCAAACTAGAGAAATTGATGAAGGCGTTTTGTGAACGACAGAGCAAAGACCCCCGAAGCGCAAGATTTTTATTTGAAGGACAGAAGGTTCGCGCGACCGATACTCCAAACGAGGTGAGTTGTTCTTTGCTCCCCGACCGCCTTGCACACGACGGGTGCGGAAGCAGGACTGATCAAGTACGTAGCTCGAAATGGCGGACGGTGACGTCATCGAGGTGCATCAAGAACAGATCGGGGGTTCTACGGGGGTACACGTTTTCGATGGAGCGGGGAGGGGCCCACCGGCGCCACGAGACACGGGTCGCTGAGTGATCGTGCCCGCCTCGAGACAGCCAGAACGGAGTTTGGGTGGGAGGACAGGAGATCTTCTCGCCGTGTTGACCACGTCGGGGAGTGGGTTGGGTCCCATGCTCGGGTCTTTCGGACGACAGATCGCTATGGGGAATGTCCTAGCCGTCGATCTACTCTAGCTGTATCAAAATTGGGGGCCAGCCATGGGCAACGCCCCATGTCGTTGTTTGCGCTGTATGTGTACGTGGCCCCTTCGCTTTATCTAGTCCGTTGCAATAAAAAGGGACGGACGGATCGCCTTCAGTTCAACAGGCCCTCTCGCCTCTCGGCCAATCTTCATGAGAAGATGTGCACGCACAGGCCAAATAGTAGCGACATGGGTGAAATGGCCATCGGCAGCCTGCTCAAACATGCGATAGAGTGACACTGGTCCATCTGTTCCGATGTCACACATCATCAAACTCTCAATGTGTCCGAACCTTCCACTCGAGGTGGACCATGACACGAATGTACACCCAACACCAATCCCCCGGCGATGCACTCGACCGTTGTCGTACATTCATCATTAACATTCGACCCTCGGAATCTTCCTCTATCGTTTTGTCCTTCACTTGAATCACCCTTGCGAGCGTCCGGGTGGCTGCGCTGGAGCGTCGTTGCTAATACTCCTGGACTCAGGCCTTTGTCAGCGCTTCCCTGAAATACTCCCACTCCGGGCTGCGCCGTTGTTCCGATTCCGCGGGTCCCTAGCGATCCGTAGTGGTCTGAGACTCTATCGTGGCAAGGAGGGCGGCCGGTGAAGCGGAGAACAGAGAACAACGTCGAGGAGGACATAGTACCTTTCCTTCCGCCGGTGCCATTGGGACGATGTGCCGGGGCCAGCGAATCTTTTTCTGCTTGGGGGTTTCTCGTCAGCGGCAATGCGCCGTCGGACGGGGATCGAGGAGGGTAGAAGGATCGTCTGGAGGGATACAAATCACACGACAGGGTAGGCGGAGGATATACGGCTTGTCGACGTAATCGTTTTACGCGCGATGGGTTTCGAAGGCGCAACCCTGGACCACCGATCGATTATCCAGTGCTTATTTGTGTTGCCGTAGTGATCGCTTGCCCAGCGACATAATTGGCCACGCCCCATGCCCGTAGCGGGATCAAAGAGGCATGGCTGGTCGTAGCAACACGAATACGTGGACGCAATCTGTCGTCCCTCCATTGCGTGCGGCCCCTCTCGCACCTCACGGACACTTACCAACCCCGGCCAGCCCATTCGAGCCTGGAAACGACCTCCAATATGCCCGGCAGTACAGGAACAATGTCTACCCACCCCACGAGCGCATTCCGTCCCCAGCCGCACGAGTGTCGGACCGCATGCCTGGCACTCCCCACTCGGTCGGCCCGAGAGAATGCCCGAGGGGCCCATCAGGCAACAAGACAGATCTCGGCGGATCTCCTGCCTGCAACACCTCGACCCAAGAGCAACGGGCACATGGACACCGTCGTGTCTGGCGTCAGGGCCTACATCTGCAGCAAATTGTGAGCGCCAAAGCCATGCATGAGCTGGGAAGGAGGCACTCTGGCCGGCACGATGTTGTAGTACCCCTACTCATACCGTCCTGCTTCGTTCATATTTCTACCG